GTGGAGGAGATCTGCTGAGCTCAGAAATCCATGTTCTGTGTAATAGGCTGGAGCACTTGCTTTTACCAACAGCAGTATTGCAAAGACAAAAAATAAACAGGAGTTTATCCTTGTAGCTAGGCTTGCAGCCTGCAAAAAAGGCAGGCATTTTCCTTCTGTCTGACTCAGACTTTCCAGACTGAAGTATCTTGGTTGCACATTAGAAGTGGCAAACATTAGAATTAGCTTTTAAATTCTGTGATTAAAGAGAAAGAAAATTTTCAAATAAGAAAAAGCACCATTTTTTATGTCTGTTGTATTGCTGACAAATTATGTGACTGCCTTAAAGTTGAAATGAGAGAGAAAATTCCTACAATTGAACTGGAAACCATGCTACTCTCAGAATAATCATGGTTATGGTTAAACTTGCAAATGGGTATCTCCAAAGTGCAAAGAGGCCATTCATTTCTGCTTTTTTCAATCTCCATGAACTAGGGCTCCTTCTTGCCTGCCACTGTATTCCAACCAGAACAACTCCCGGCCGAGGAAAAGCACTCACTGGCTTGCCAAGACAACATTCTTTTACATGACTAGCTCTTTCCTCTGTAGTTATTAATGTGTCACATATTATAGGCTCAGATTGTCTAATATTATGGGAAAATCTACTAGAAGGAGAGAAAAATAAAGGAAACTTCCAGGGAAATTGATTAAAGGGAAATAAGATATTTAACCTGATTTAGTGGAACAAAATACAGACAGTAATAGAAACTATTTAAATTCCTCAGATGGATACACAGTTCTTTAGCAATAAGTTTTGTTTGTTGTTTTTTTTTTTACCATCTCGGAATATCTATTATAAGAACAAGATTTTAGACTCTTTCTCTCATGCCAAGTGCAACAATGTGCATCTTAAGGGATTTATGAGCACAACTTAGTATTAGCAAATGTGGGTTATATGAAACAAGAACTGTGACACCGTTTGGGAAGATTTAACCAGGATCCATTAGAATAAAAACTGTGACACAGCGTGGATGACAGAATCACAGAATCATCATGGTTGGAAAGGACCTCCAAGATCACTGAGTCCAACCGTCAACACAAAAAAAACCCCACAAACTTTGGCAACTAGAGCATGTCCTGAAGTACCAAATCTACGCAGCTTTTGAACACCTCCAATGACGGTGACTCAACCACCTCCCTGAGCAGGCCGTTCCAGTGTCTGACCACTCTTTCAGTACAGAAATTCTTCCTAATATCCAATCTAAACCTCCCCTGTCACAACTGCAGGCATTTGATGATACTCCTAAGCCTTACACTTCCATCTCGCAGACACTTGCATGAAGCAGTTTTTGACTGCTGACGACATGGAGTAAAACAAGCTGCCTCACAGGTGCTGATGTGGCTGCTCTAATCTCCCTTCAATATTGCTTCTTTGCTCCATGGATGCTCCATCTGAGGAGCAGAAACACAACTCCAGAGATCAATCACTCACCAAGAAATGAGTTTCAGCTCACAGTGAAAGGTAAAGCAATGCACAAATTAATAGAATTTGTCTTAACAGTTTGAAAATCATTATCAGGTCTGCAAATATCGAAGCCTCCTATGGGCGATTCACCAAGTGGCTTGTTGTTATCGGGTCTATTTTGAAGGGACAAGTTAACGCAGGAACCCTTCACGTCTGTGATTTCACCACTTGCTGTGACAGCAGCTCCGTGACAGCCCTGGCGCAGGAGGAGCTCCCCTACAGGAGCTGTCTCATGCCTGTGCCTAAAGCACAGGTCTGCACACACAGGGAGGGACATTCAGGCCTGCACAAGTGCAGCACAATGAGATGTGCAGGGGTGTGTGGGCAGAGAGCCCGGGGACATCCCACATAGTTCCATTGCTGCCATTTCAGGCAGGGAGCAACACCTAGGAAAAGGGATTTTTCTCGCCTTTCCAGCACCACACCTACAAGATGGTGGCTTTTTATACCTAAGTAAGTGATGGCCTGTTGCTACAATTATCAGAGGGCTTTCAAATACCTTTGTCTCCTCAGTGGCTTAAGAACTAATCAACAGGCAACAGCAGAAAAAAGCTGCAAGATGCTGAATGTGCAGGCCTGTCTGGATATGAGGTCTATTTCGAGGCATAACTGATCATTTAACAACATATCACCTCCTTGGTCCTCCCACACAGCTGCCTGGGGAGGAACTAGCTCCGGATGATGCTTTGAACCTGTGAAATCCCCTCCTAAAACCTGTCAAGTGCTGAATGTGACACAGATGAGGTGGAACCAAATCTCCCCGTGAAAAGCAGATACTTCACAGTTCTTGCTTCATTGCAGCTAATGATCTGCTGACACCGGTGGGACTTTTCAGCCGGGATCGTCTCCTGCTGAGGAGAGCACTCAGCTTTTCTGTTGGTAGCAACAGTACTCCCCGGGGAGCCCCACTGGTAGGGAAAGGGCCAGTTATCTTAAAGCTGCTACTTACTAAGGCTTTCCCGGCGGGTTATTATTAACAGCTACCAGACAGGAGAAATCCTAAAGGAGAGTCGCAGGGGACAAGGGTTCCCTGGTGGCCATGTCAAAAAAAAAAAAAAAAGCCCCAGCTTGCCTTCTCAGCAAGGCACCAGAGCTTACCTGAGCCTGTGAGCTCTGCAACACATGCTGATTATCTGGGAGAAACTGATATTATCATCTCCAGTGTGATTTAGTCTGCATCACTAATACTGGTAATGTTTTTAGCCATCTTCCCAGAACTGCGCTGAGATCAGGAAGTGCTACTGAAATGCAAAACCATTGCTAAATATGCAGTATACATTCTAAATGGAAGAGGCTTGTCACTGCAGATCACTTTATATTCTATTTCCATGAGTTCAGAAAAACACAGTCCTTAACGTATCTTTCCCAATTGCGAGTATATCCAGTATTCCAAAAATAAAATGGGGACAAATACATTAATTTTTTTTGTAGGAACTTTGCTGTCTGCTATGCAGCAAACATTTTCATATTTTAATTATAAAAAAACATAAAAATAAGCCACTGGTATCTCCACTCTTGGCTTTTTTATGCCCTTAAGGCTCATCAAAGCAAACACATCTCAGCATAAATGCCTAGACACCTCAAACAAGCCACTGCAAATAGCAGCCAAATTAGGTGTGCACATACAATTTGGAAAAATGCTGTCTAATTCTGGACTGGATTTCTGCTTAAACAGTCTTTTGTGATGGGCACAAATACCACGTGCAATTGTGAAAGGCTCTTAGAAATGCCTGGCTAACTCATATTTGCTTTTTATGTGGGAGAATTTGAGCAAGTGGGGGGTGAGCTGTGGGGCTCCCCACATGACCTGAGGACCATCCACCCTCTGCTCTGGGCTTGTGCTCTTTTTCTGGACAGTGTATGTACAAGTTACACCTGGAGTTTCCCCACCCAAGCAGCTCCTGGGTGCAGGCAGGAATGGGCTGTTTCCACTTGGAAAAGAAGGAGAAGCCAGGTGATCCTTTGCCACAATCGCCTTCCTATCCACAGAAGCTGCAGTTTTCTGAATGTTTCCTTTAGCAAATGGGCCTTTGTTTCAGCAGGGACACGTTTGGGGTGGAGGCCACTATTGTTTCAGCCATCTGGTCCCATAAGAAATCCTAACTGTTTCCTATGGAGAAAGGTGGTGGCTACTCCCACTATTCTCCCTTCCCCATCATGGTGCCATGGTGACTTCACTCAGCTGCTTAAACGATCAGATAGTTGTTATCTTCTCATAAACATTGCCAAGATATCATACATACCCATCATCCTCTTCTCAGCCTTGCCTTATTTATTCATTTCTATTGTTTTATTCCAACCTCCCATCAATAACACACTAGCCACAATTACTCTTGATTTCCCATCCAGAATCAGCTCCTCTCTTATTCTAAGCAGTTGTTATTTAAGTAAAGCCTGCATCTTGAGAAATAAGATACATACAAGAGAACTTCTTCAATTACTTTCTTCACATGAATTATGGCAAGACAGGTTCTGCTAAAGGGGTGAGTCATTCAGCAAAGGGAGAGGAAAACTGTTCATTGTGTATTTGTGAAATCCCCAAACCACTGAAAAGGCACCATTTACCAACAAAAAGCATCACAGGATGCACATGAACCAGTGAAGTGGGTGGAACCCTTCCAGAAATTACTGTGACTCGGGGGGCACCCTGTTGGACGCCTCTTCTTCTCAGGATTCAGTACGTTAAAATGAGTGGGAGGTGCAGGTTTCTCAGCTTACACGCTTATAGGATTTGCCCATCAGAAATCAGAACTTCAAGTTTTCTCTGTCCCTCAGGGGAATACCAGAACAAGCTGGGCTTTCCCTGCTTCAGCTGTAGCCTCCTGAGCTGCACACCTCTTAGCACTGACATCTAGAAAAAACAATTACCAGGATGCTTCTGAGCCTCAAAATCAAACCTGTTTCTCCATTGCAGTTCAGTTCCTGCTACAGCTCAGATCAGAGGACCGTGGTCACTCCTTCGGCAGGCAGGACTGGCCACAGTGCTAGGATCTAGCCTAGGTTTGAATTCAAAACCTCCAACCATGTGCCAGCTTGTTAGATAACAAGTTCTGATTGTACCTCCAATCAAAATAAAACCACTCCCAGGAAGGCAGCAGCTTGCACACTCATGCACAAACAGGGAGGAAGGACATACACCCCTACACGCACAGCCATGCTGGCTCCCTGCTCCCAGAAAATACCTAATGGCCAAAAAGGATCCAGCAGTAACACACTAATAAATAAACTTTGCAAAAGCCCCAAAGTCCTTCACTGATCTCACAAGCTCTAAGCATAATGAAGAGCCACTTGCTACCAAAGCTGTTTTCAGGAGTGGGAGTGCAGATAGGTAAGAGCCACAGGTCACTCAAATGGTGTTCCAGACCCAGCCAGTGCAGGAGGAGTAGAGCACCCTGTGTCTGCCTACCTGAACACCTTATTGCTGGCCTGGAGCACAGGGACAAGACAATCATTGTTGCAGGGGACAGAACAGAAGCAAATCTCAGGGGATACTTACAGCATTCAATGGGGTTTGATGCTGCTTGCAGAGAAACAATCCTGCCATTGGACTCAGGGATGTGGACGCGGAAGACGAGCCGGACCCGGGTGTTCTTCCTGCCGATGTCCGTCTCTCCCTTGCGCAGCTCGATGTCTGCATTCCTCAGCTTCAAAATCCCTGCACAGTCAATGCTGCCAAACACACACACACACCACTTAGCTTAACATTTCTGCTCTTAAACAGCTTGAAAACAGGTGACAGTCCAGAGGATAAGCCGTTTTGCTTCAATCTCCAGGTTAAAAGCAGCTCCAAATACTTGTTCTGCTTAGGATCCAGATATTGTCATTTCAGCAGTTAGAGAAGAAATCCCAGGCATGCAGCGAATCAGGGGTGCTGCTGGACCCTTTCTCAAGGAGTCTGGGCTGGATAGCTCACCATGTCCCTGGCATGTCCCAGCCAAGGGCTTGGGGTGGTCTTTATTCTGGTGACAGCAGAAGCTACCCTCCAATCATTATAACTTCTCTCTGGTGCTAAGAACAAGCATGCACATGGCAGAGCCCACACGGAGCAGGGAGAGTGAGCCAGAAGTGCACATTGGGCCAGGGAATAACCTCTGCAAGCTAGACCATCAAAGCCTCCACTTCCAGCCCTCCAGACAGCTCAGTGCCCAGAGACTGCTATTGCCTGCACATGGGCAAATTAGTTCAGCTCCGTGGGCAATCCCAGTCAAACCAGCTAATTGCAGCACCACCCAGGCATGTTTTCCCCACAGTTTGTAGCACAAGCATGAAATTCAACTCCAAAGCAGGAATCAAACTGCTCTCCACTCCTTTTGGACAAGATAGGTGCTTCTGCTAGAACTGGTCTCTTCAGCCCTGGCCCAAGTCACCATGTCATCCTCCAAAGCCCTGGGATGTTGCCCCCAGCCAAGGTAATAGCCTGGCAGTGCAGAAGATTGTTCCCTGCTCCCATCCACCATGTCCCTGCACAGAGGGAGTATGTGGGGAGCAGGATGGGGCTGAGCAGCAATAAAAGGGTTAGGATTGCTTAAACTGACATTCCAACTTAAAATTAGTGTAAGTGCAGGTTAACTTCCTAAGAGTCCAGTGTACTGCAACCTTGCAACATGCCTGTCTATGTTAATAGAATGTGCCAATTAATATTTACAGAATCTGGTATCTTTGGCCTTCAAAGGTGCACTGCTATTAGACAGGCACTGCCAACCCATTTTAATACCAATTTTAAATACATACTTTTTTTTTTTTTTCTTCTGGTATTAATTAAAATCACGTTTTGGGAGGCATAAACCCCAAGCTGTTTCCTACACCCACACTGTTCTCCTTGCCATTGCACGTGTGCAGGGGTTTATTACTCCAGGGTTACTTGTTAGGAACAGACAGTCATGTTGCATTCAGCACTTGGCTACTTAAGCTTGAGATGCAGACATTTATTTATTTCCTTGGGTGCAGAGGGAAGGAGAGGCTTGAAGGAAAGGGAGGAATGAGGTATATTTTCTGAAAAAAGATCTAGAGAGAAAGAATGTGGATTTCGCTATGAAGTAGGGAGGCTTAAAAACATAGCTGTTCTGCCAATTTGTCAGTATCCTCTGAAGCATGGAGATACAGCTCTTCCCTCTGCAGAGCAATCACTCTCATGCTGCCTGGCACACAGTCAAGCCTGAAGTTTGAGACTGGTGCCCACTTCATCCCTCTGCCTGCATAAAACAGGAAAGAGTAATACAGAAAAGATGTGCCTGTACTTGCTTTTCTGTCAACCTATTACAACAAGAGAGTACAATTTCATGGCCAGAGCACTTGGCTGAGTTCAGGAGAGATGTTTTTTATTCCATTAAATGTTGTAAAATGAACTGCACACCTTTTCTCTGCTGTCTACTGCTCCTTGCTTGTCATTGTATTGCTGCAGCATAAGGACTTGGAGATTCAATTCTTGTTCTCCATAGTGCCCTACAAAACCAATCTGATTTTAAGATGATAGATTATTACAATATAGTCACTGCAGCAATTGGGGTAAAGAGCAAAAATGCCTGCACAGTCAGCTGATGGATGGTAACTCTTTAAGCAGCTTTAACCCAGGTGCTTGTACCTACTGCTCATGCTTTTGTAAAAAGGGTCTTACACTCATGTATCAACCCAATGCTTTGGAAAGGGGAATCCCTCCAGCACAGACATTGTTATTCATTTAAGTGACTTCTCCACATGAGAAAGAACTTCACACACCAAAGTTAATCCTCCTCAACTTTCTTAATAAAAAGAAATATACTTACGTTGCTTTCATGTTATTTTTGGGTTCCAGTGGGATCTCCAAAACTTTGGTGTTGCCAATGATTTTTTCATAGCTGGTGGTGGTAACAGTTTTCCCCGTAATGCGATGGACTTGATAGAAAGCATGAGGTTTAAGTATCCGTTCATCTGCTGTTCCAATGAAGATCTGAAGACCCAAGGGTTTGTTCTCCATGTAACCGTGGAGCTGTGAAGACATTAAAAATCTATTATCACACACAGGGCTTGCAATGCCTTCATGTCAGGAAACAAATAGATATACGTACAGATAGGAATAGATATAAACGTGTAGTACAGACTGTTTCCTACTCTGAGACACAGACATCCTCTGAAGAGTACTTGCTGGAGTCCATGATACATAGGGGAGAGAGTTAATGGAAAACATGCAATTAATGGTTTTAATACTAAATATATAGAGAAGGAAAAAAAAAAAATCCAGACAAGCTCTTTGTTAACAGAAATTTGTTGATTATCTCCAAAACAGACTGTTAAATCCTCTCAAAATGTACATTCTATGATTTTTTAGTACACTGGTTTAATTTTCAGTGACTGATTCCTAAATGAGGGGATGGATAAAGCTGCAAAGCAGAGCTGAGTCCCTGCACCTGCAGCCTGGGACAGTGCTTCCTGCTTCCTGTCAGCAGAAAAGACAGTAAGGACAGAAGAAAGTCACTCACTTGCATTTATATACTTGGTATATATGTGGTACTCCCATATGCACCTTCTCCAGATCTTATCAAAGCTAATAGAAGTTTCTGTCCAGCCTAATGTTCAGTAAAATTACTTTGTCTCAGCTCAGTTTGAGATTCCTACTTTCACTGCAGTGAAAAAAAAAAAAAAGGTGTTCCCCCCCCAATCTAGTGAGTGTGTCTGCAATTTTGAGAACTGAAATTCTCAATATTTCAGACATATAAACATTTCAGAAATTAATTATCTCTGTTGTACCCCTTTCTCTGGCTTTGGCATGTGCAGTCTTCTGCTCACATCCATTTCAAACCCAGCTAGGACTGTCCTGCCAACCTTTTGCTTTCCTCAACTCACCCCAAGCTTCTGTGTCCCTCACACCAGATACAAGCTGCCTGCCTTGATCTTCAAAGTTCTGTTTGTCTCTTTGCCCTCTCACTTCTCATTTTCTACCCAGTTATCAACACCTATTCCCAAACTTCCCAAATCCAGCCCCAAACACCAGCTTCTTAAACACTCACATCCTCTTCCACCAGAGAGGATGTTCCCTTTTAAATCTACATCTCCACCATACAAATCTCCCTGTCTACAGAATTATTCAATAGTCATAAAAGGAAATATATTCTTAGTTCCACTTAGGAAATATGTTCCTGGTCCCACTTATGTGGACCAGCTTTGATTCACTCCTCTTTGAAACTCATCCTTCCCCCAGCAGTCCATTCATCTTCAGCCGTTCCTCCTGCATTGCATTAAAATAATACCTGTACAGGTAGAGCTGGCATTTTTGGTTTGTCACTGTATAGTACCTGGCACAAGGAGTTGACCTTAGAGACAGGGGCCTCTAGGGTTCAAGGACATAAACAGACTCTACTGTACTAAACAACATAGTTGATAAACAGCATTTGCTGAAAGAGAAGCAAGAAAGCCAGAATGCCTCCACAGGCCAGGAGACTAGGAAATTTCCCCTTCTTTATTAACATTCAGAATTACAAATCAAACCATTCTAAATTTCTCACATAACCAAAAATTAAAACCAGACATTTATCTACCACACAGCCAGTGATCTAGCTGAAAGGGAACTTTATGGTCTGAGACATGCTAAATTTGTTTTCAATTATTTTGTCCACATACAAAACCTTGATGAAGCCATACAAAGCAAATAGTACTGGAAGATCAGAGAAAAGGAAGATTAAGTTAATGGTATTCATGGCCAAATCGTGGGTTGTTTTTTTTCTTTTTTCTTTTCACCAGTCAGCAGGAGGCATGGAAGGATTAATTCCCCCCTGGAAGGGGACCACAAGCAGCATCAATGCAATCCTGGCAACCTTCCTTCAGTATGGGAAATGTAAAGTGACACTCACTCTTCTGAGCTATCATTACTCATCTAGCACATATTTGCAAGGCATACAAAGCTGGGGTCTATGCCCCAGAGAACTTACAACCCAAGGGCCCGAATATGCAGCCTCCACTTACATGAATAGCTCCATTGAAGTCAACAGGCTTTAAGTAGGGGCTGTGCAAGAAAGAATTACAGAGCCCAGCCCAGGCACAGCACAGACACCTACGATAGCTCACTTGCACAAACGCTTTGGGAGATGGCGAGGAAGGAAAACAGGGCACGAGGCTTTGCACAAACATGCCAGTTGGCTCTGGGGGTGAGGTGGAGGAGGAGTGGAGCTGGACTCCAAGCACAAGGGTTGGCACTGGAGAAGCAGTGTTGCCAATTATGTGATAAGCACGATGGCAGCCATGGAGAGATTTAGAAATGCATTGGGTGCATAGGAGATTAAAGGCGACAGAGGTCAAAATGATAGATCTACTGGGAACAAGCACAAATGTAGCAATCATCCCCTGTTTATCCAGGGAGGCCCATTAAGCCCAGGTCCTCTGGGAGCTGTACGGAAACTCATCCTAAGTATGGTACTTGCAAAATCCATTATTTCCTGGCCTTCAATGAAAAGCCATTGCATGACCAAAAGCCATCTTGTCTTTACAAGGGGAGAGGAGAAGAGTAGTTTTTAAGTACTGAGCATGGTTATTGTCATGCCTGACAGAGTAATGCTTTGTGGATCCAGCTCAGATGATGAGAGGATCCTTTGGACTGCAACTGTTATTACAGTGACAGCAAAGCAGATTTCTCTCTATCCTGGCAAAATAAAATCCCAGAGTTATAGGTGGGAGACTGGAATGGAGTAAAACAGATAATAAATTAGAGAAGAAAATTTGCCCCTGGTGAGCAGAGTCAGTAGCAGCTGGAACAGAACTGGCTACATACAGTTTTTTAATACCGGCCACCTTTAAAAGTCATTTTGAGTCATGTTTGCTCATGTACAGAATGAGTTCCCAAAGCACAAATATTCATGGTCTTCTAAGAAGATGCATAGCTGTGGGTGTGTGTCTGTATAAATGTATATATACTTAAAGAAGAAAGGAACTGATTGCCTGTTCATATGGCAATGTTTGGATCATCTGCTGGACGAGGGGGTACACAGCACACAGTAAAAGGCCTTCTGGTCCTCCACAGGACCAGCTTTTTAAATCAATTGTTTGATCAGTGGAAGAAAGTAACAGAATTATTTGGTACTTTATGGCATTTTGGCAATGGTTTTGGATAACATCACTGTAAAAATCAAAATACCATTATAAACTGCAAATAAAAACAGAAAATAAAATGTAAAAGTGTCAAGTATCCCTGTTTAGAAGAGTTAATTATGTTTCAAAGGGTAAGATAGGCGATCATTTACAATAAGAATTTCCATCTACCTTTCAACGGCTAAGAACACATCAGGATGATTTAGGAACAAAAAATGGAGATGAACAGCCCATAGAAATGCTCTATGAACTTTAAATTAGAGTTTTACACCCAGCTCTGTCACCACTTTACTACATAGCTTTGGTCATGTCATATAACCTCAGTGTTGATCTCTACCAGGGAAACATTTAATGCTAACCCTACTTTGCAGGAACAGAAATGAGTTAATAATCTGTGCTGCATTTTTATATAGAAAACTTCAGTGTGAGCTGGAATGAAAGAATATGCTAAAGCTCCAGTTCAGGTATATGTCTCTCCTCAAAGCTGAACTATGAGAGACTGTTACTCTCAATAAACACTCATCTCCACTATGCTAAGCAGCTGCTTTAGTATTTAACCATAAGGCAAAGGAGTAAAAGTGACCCTTAAAAAACCCTACAAAGAAGTGAAGACTTAAAACATGTTTTAAATAATAACTTCAAAAATATTTTTTCTTCCTTTAGTGACAACCAAGTCTCTCAAAAGTCTCAGTTTTTCAATCCTACTCTGCTGCTTATCTCCTGGATAGAAACCTGCAGCTGCCCAAGGGGACAGTGCAGTGCCCTGCAACCAGAGTTCCAGGAGAAACAAGAACAGAGGACCAGCCCCACACCAACATGTTCCTTTACTCTTGTTTGCTCTTCTTTCCATGAAGAAAACTAAATCATCTGGATTTCAGTTGCAAGAGAGTAAGAATTGAGAAAGATTTATGAATACAGAACTCCAGGAGGAAATATTTTTGTGTATCATAAGGTGACCTATTCACAATAAAACTCCCCCAAACTGTATACAGATTGAGCTGGAAAAAAACCAACTCCTTTGAGTCACATTTGCCACAAGAGGAAAGAGAAGCCAGACATGATGTGTACCTTTCCATACTCTATTTTGGGATTTTAAGATCCTATTTCTTTCAGTTGAAAGATTTTTCTTAAACTTTGCTTTTGCATAACTCTTATAATATTAACATAGCCAGACATGGGCTGGTCTGTGACCTGAGGAAATGCAAAGCACTTTGGCAGATAAACAAATAACATCATTCAGAAAACAAGGAGACTTTTCTTGTTTGGTTTGCTGCTATGATTTGGTTTCTAAACAAAATGGAAATGTGTGGCATGATTAAAATCATCGTCTCACCTCTGCATAAATAAAATTCATTCATTCTGCACTCCATCTGTGGATCAATACCAGTGAAAATTAGCAGCAAGGGGTATTGAAGTGTTATTTTCAGGAAAGCATGTGTAATTCTGCATGCAAAAAATGAGCAGATGTGCCTTCAGCTGCTGTGTATCAGCAGCCCTGTCACCCACCTGAACACAATTCACGTGATTGTACCAGCAACTGCAGCCATCAAGACCACTCATTAGGCACACAGAACAACAGGGTTTTTTCCTGCATTATTTCAAAACTCAGATCTTCACACGAACTGAGATGCCAGCTCCAAAAACACAAGCACTTAACCCCAGAGTTTAAAATTCACATCTAAATCAGTCCCTACCCCAGTGCTGAGATGAACCAAACCCTGCATCCAAGCAGTTGGCATTGCCTCTTGCCGTGGGGATTTAAAGACACAGCTTTGCTCTGTTGCATGAGTAGCAAATCTCTGCACAAGTGAAGCCTGCAACACCTCTTAGTTATGCTGTCTGGTAACCAAGTGATAAATTGCCAGCAGAGTCAGAAAGAAAGGCAAATTCCTTAAAGATTCTGTAGGTGGC